AAAGCAGAATGCTATTTCTAAACTGCAGTTCCAGGCCTGTTTGTCTTCTTTCAAACTAATCTTCATTATGATTATCAAGCCTATACAATACCAACAACCTTGTGGCGAAGGATGTGGCTCCTTTTCAGATGCCACATGCAAAGGCTTGACGTTTCAGGTGAAAGTTTGATAAAAGGAGATGGCTTTCTTCAAACCAAACACATCTCCTGGCCCCTCCAACTTTGCCAAGCGCTTGCTTGCTACGTTTCTCCCAATGCTTCATATAAGGTCTCAAAGCAAATAAAGATGCCAAGCTTTGATTAGGAAACTCAGCCGGCTCTTTTTGTTTCCACGTTATATAGAGGCAGCTTCAGTGCATAATTTAATCTCTTCAGGGGACTGTAGTAAATCCACAAGAGATTTCCACCAGCAGCCCTCCTTGACATGAGAACTAGCATGCACATGATCTTTGATGTGAATTCCCTAACCATAGCCTTAGAAGGACCTGTGGCCTTTGATGCTGCCCTAAAAATTGGGCTTTCTGAAAGAATCATTGAGCCTTTCTTAGAAACACCTGATGAGATCCTATTTTCTGAGGCCATAGAAGGTTTCCCCCCCCCCATAGTTCAGTGCAGCAAAACACGTTTTCCCTTGGCTATTAGACTTCTTTAATTTTTTTTTCTTTTTAACTGATATTTCCTCTTTTATTAAGAATCTCAAAAAGTCTAGGCATATTATGGCATTTCATACCATAGCTGGACAGGACACACATGACTGTTCTATTATATTAAAGCACAGCCCTAATAACACATGAAAATGATTTTGGCAGGAAAAAAAATCAGGCTCCTAATCTCACAGATAATTATTTCTGTGAAAAGATCTTCCTTCCTTCCTTCCTTCCTTCCTTCCTTCCTTCCTTCCTTCCTTCCTTCCTTCCTTCCTTCCTTCCTTCCTTCCTTCCTTCATCTTATGAATCTTTTCCTGAAGCAAGACACTCCCAGCAGGATTGTTCAAAGAGAACATTTGTCATATTGCTAAAATGACAAATGTTGGATCAGGCATCAGGCTTTTTTCACCTATGGAATACCTATGGAAGGCATCCTATGGAATGTTTGGAAGACATTTTTTTTTTTGTATCTTAATCAGAATTAAGTTTAGGGTTTCAATTATTTCCAGTTGGTTGAATTCTTTGGTGTTGCTCTCACACTATGAAATGCACTACTTTCAGCAGCTACATTTACCATTTTTTTTTCATCTTGATGAAGAAACTAGACTTCAGCCAGGCTCCCTTGAGTTTCCTTGATGGTGATTTTATTTAGTTGATCTAATCCCCACCTTTTCAAGACAATGTTCATAGTGCTCCCTCTGCCTATTTATCCTCACAGCAACCCTGTGAGGTAGGTTGGGCTGAGATAGAGTGACTGAGTGAAATGGATGAAAGGTTGGCTCTGCCGGTCATAATCTTAAGTATTGTACCATACTGACTAGCACTGCTCATCAAGTGGCTACTAATAATTTTCTAAACCTGAAGTACAATTTAAAATTGAAAACATAGCACATTTTTTTAAAGTTGGCCAGCTAAGAATACACAAAGAAGCAGAATAATTTATTAAAAAAATATGAGTGTTCTTTAATTTTAAACCATGGTTTATCAATGAAAAAGCAACCACTCATGGGCATTTGTTGAAACTTACTTTACAATCCCTTGTACACTTTCCTGGGCAGGTAAGTTCCAAGATCTGGATGCCACCATTTTAAAATGACATGTCCTATTAAATTGTATTTTTAGGCAGGCTGAGAACGTAAGTACTTTGAAGGTCAAGACCCATCCTAGCCTAGCATTTTGTTTGTCATCAGCCCAAATGTTTCTGGGATGCTGACAACCAGATGACGGAAGGAGACAACTCTTCCATCATTGGTCTCCTGACAGTATTATTTATTCAGAAATAAAATAGTGACTTGAGGATCAATAGCCTTTACTCATCTTGTCCTCCATGAATTTCTCCATTCCAGAGCCATTCAGGTTAGTGACCATTACCACATCTTGCTGTAATAAATGCAATAGAATAGTGATTGCAGGGTTTTATATATCTTGATCATGTCCCGTCTTTTTATTTGTTCTAGCTTGGTCTCATAAGGTAGATGTTTAATGAATAAGTATTTTGTTTTCCTTTGCTTACTTTTTTGCAGTTGTAGTATGTTTTTTTCAAACATTGTCGCCAGAACTGTACAATATTCCAGAACTGAATGTACAGTATCTAGGCATACAGTGTTGGTGAGTTTATTTTCAAACATTTTCTTAATTATTGCTAACATGAAATTTGCTTTTTGGTAGATGCCAAACACCATCATTGGTGTTTGTCATCATGACCCTAAATAATAATAAAGCTGATTTGTTCCAGTGTGCGTTATTTTACATCCCCCTAAACTAACCGCAGGGTTTCTGTTTGGTTGACCATTTCTTAGTCTAAGATATCCCTCTGAAGCTCTTCATAAATGAGTTTTCACTATCCTGAATAATTTCATATAATCCATAACTTTGCCTAACTCCCTTACCCTGTATCAAGATCAGTAAGTTAAAAATTATTTAAATTTGAATTTCCTTTCATTGAGAAAACAATATTTATCCCTATTCTATTTTGTCTAACTAGTTAACAAAACACTCTAGAAGACTATGAACAGGATTTACTCGTGCAGAACCCAGTGATTTTCTTTCAGCAAGGCTTATTGCTCCATAGGCTTTTTTTTTTTTAATCTTTCTATAATTCCACACAGAACAGACAGTAAGAATATCTGCCTGAAATTTTCTGGATCTTGCCTATCTTCTGCTTTTAAAAAATGGTGTTGTGCTCGCTACCTTCCAGTGTTTTTGCTAAGAGGTCACTTTTTATTAAAATATTCAGTTTTTTTAATTGTATAGATTTTCAAGTTGGCTTGAAACTCAACATTAAGAAAACTAAAATCATGGCATCTGGCCCTCTCAATTCCTGACAAATAGATGGGGAAGAAATGGAGGTAGTGACAGATTTTATTTTTCTGGGCTCCAAGATCACCTCAGATGGGGACTGCAGCCAAGAAATTAAAAGACGCTATGGCAAATCTAGACAGCATACTAAAAAACAGAGATATCACCCTGCCAACAAAAGTGCGTATAGTCCAGGCCATGGTCTTCCCAGTTGCAATGAATTGAGGCCTTTGAACTATGGTGCTGGAGAAGACTCCTGCATGTCCCTTGGACTGCAAGGCGTTCAAACCAGTCAGTCCTAGAAGAGATCAACCCCGACTGCTCTTTAGAACGCCAGATCCGGAAGTTGAAACTCAAATACTTTGGCCACCTAATGAGAAGGAAGGACTCACTGGAGAAGGGCTTAATGCTGGGAAAGATTGAGGGCAATAGAAGAAGGGGACAACAGAGAACGAGGTGGCTGGATGGAGTCACTGAAGCAGTAGGTGTGAGCTTAAATGGACTCCAGAAGATGGTGGAGGACAGGAAGACCTGGAGGACCGTTGTCCATGGGGTCGCGATGGGTCGGACACGACTTCGCAATTAACAACAACAAGATTTTCAAGATATGCTAAAATATATTTTCATTACCCTAGTTCATTTAGTTGTTCCAATTGCCTACTTGAGAAAGTCTATGCCTATTCATGACATCCTTTGTTGTGTGAAAACTGCAATCTTTGCTCTAGGCAGCCAAATCATCATAAAATCTATGCCCATCACCATTTTTTTCTCAGTATTTCTACAGCCAAAAGATCTTTGCCCCTCTGGAAGGAATATCTGTAGATGAAGATGAAGTGGGCTCCTTATTCAAAGGTTGGATCCTTCTTTGGGAACATTTGATTCATCCTCAACATGCCCTCTTTCCCTAAAACTTTTATTCTGCCTGAAAGCAGTTATCATTCTGGATTTTGGATTAAATTATCATAACCTGCTACTTGCAGCTATCTTGATTTGAAGAGAAGAGTCGGGAGCTCATTGTACCAAGTATGTTAATAACTGATAACCCTCACTGGTCTTCTTTCATACCAATTATTAATAACCTTTAGCTTTCTTACTCTTTAGGAACTGTGTAATGTAAAAGATGGCCAATATTGCAAGAGTTGAAGCTCATACTTCTCTCAGTCAGTACTAGGTTTGCCTTGATGCTTTGTCTCTGTTCTTCTCCCTTTCACTTCACTTTCAACGCTCCATTTTAGTCAGCATTTTCTTATAGCAAATCTTGATTGGGAATGACAATTTCAAAGAACAAGCCTCTCAAAAGAGTCAATTCATAGAATCTCTTAGGAAGCATGTTAAAGTAATATCACAAGAATTCCAGCAAGTCCTCTAATCTCAAATTAGTGTTATCTATGCACAGCAAATAAGAGGTAGCAAGGTTTGGGGCTTTACTCCCATTTTTCCAAAGTAAAGGGAAGAAGCGAGTCTCTTTGTCAAGGTGTAGCAGTCTAAACCTGCTGTTGGAGTTAAGATTATGTTAACAACCTGAGACTAGCTCTTATATCTTGTTCCTATCCTCCTTTTGCTGGTTCTGGTTATGTACCCAGCTCAGGCAAAGAAAGTATGTAACTTCATTCAATTAGTCACAATTCTCCTTATTCACACTTGATCAGATCTAAACTCACTCCCTCAAAAACTATCCTGTGCCATTTGCCCTCCTGTTCATTCCCTCTAACCACAAGCTCCCAATTACTTCTCTTCTTTCAATTCTTTCTAAAGAATAGCCCATCCAACTCAGATCTTAATACAGAAATCAATTACAGGTGGTTTCGTGCACCATGAAATTTGGAAAGCAAATCTTGGAAGGGCTGTTGATGCTACAGAAGAGCATTATGAGAGAACAAGATGGACAGAATACCTACATTAGCAGAGGGGGTATGAATAAGCATTAAATGAACAATAAATTAGGGATTCCTTTTGTGTCAAGTACAAATTTGTGACTACACTGTAATATATTTTTCCACTAATGGAAGCCTTCATGTATCTAATTTTATTTTAAGCAGAACAGAGAATAGTCAGCTAGAATGCAAAAATATATTTACTACGTAAATCATAGTAAAGGGAGTACAAATGTTGTAGCCTAGCTTCTTCGACCCAATGTCTTTTAGATATATAACAACCTCACAATATTTGAAGAGCTCCAGTTTGGAGGAAATTGTAATCAAACTAATCCACACACACACACACAGGCATATACTCCAGTACATACACTTTGTTATGGTTTATTTGGCTAAACCATACTAAACTCAATGGATTTCAATGAATAAATTAATGAATTCTGAGAAAACTGGGTTAACTTACAAGACAATACTTAAGGTTTTCTTTTCAAGAGTGAAAAGAAAATCAACTTATTTTGTTATTTTTTTTCTTTATTAAGATATACCTATTTAGGGTTTCTGTATAGGCATAACACAATTTACCCATAATGCCTTTTGAAGAGATTCCTCTCTTCATTAAATGGCTGCTCTGCCATTCCTTATCTAGACATAATTCTGAAATCAGCTCTTCAATACACATGCATCCAACAGAAGTTTAGCATTGCAAAATGTAATGCAGCACGTATTTTAAAATACTGTTTCTTTTGGATGATAAGCAAGACACATGAAGGTCCCGTCCTTACTTTTTAATAATTATACCATCCAAAACCCCAGCAAAAACTGCTTTAAAAAATAAAGCACCCATAAAGACATTAAATGCCGTTTCAGTAAGTCATTTAACAAACTTAAGAAAAATTTAATAGCCTTCATGGAACATGAAGAGAGAAGAAGTAGAATCTAAAGGCAGGTTGAGAACTAAGTACATCCCCCACTCAATTTTATTTTCATATCTTACAAAACAAAATGGGCAGTCATGCTGAGAAAAATAGCTTCTTGGTGTGGTGCTGCAAATGCAAACACCCCTTTCTCTAAAAGGCCTTATTAAAACCACCAAGGGAAGATCTGTGCCGTAAGCAGTCCAAGACTTTGCACTGTAACAAGAAGGCTTACTCTGCCTACATTCTGCAGCTAAGTGCCACTGGATTTAACAAACATCATTTTATAGCTGCTTTTGGCATCTTTCTTGGCTTGCGGGTCCTCAGAGTTGCTGTGTTTTTCTGCAGATGGCGGATCTTCAGCAACTTCGTCTTGCTCGGAGTCAGAATCGCTTTCGGAGTCTTCTGAGCTTTCTGATCCTGGGGAGTCTTCCGCCTCCTCCTCCTCCTCCTCCTCCTCCTCTGGTGCTGCTCCTCTCTCTTCCTCCAACTAAAGAAAAGATTGAGAGAAAAAATTCTATCAGCTTCTTTTGTTACTCTGAACAGATCCCTTTCTTTTGAAGTGTGTTTCCAATATCAATACATATAGAAATAGCAGCCGGTTGATATATTGTGGATGGCATAGAAACTTAATCATTTGATTTTAACCACCTACTAGCGCAGTAATCTTTTAGGCTACAGCAGGGGTATCAAATTCAATTTCATTGAGGGCCACATCAGCATTGTGGTTACCCTCGTGGGGGGCGGGTGTGTGGCCAGGGTGGGTGCGGCCTACTGGGTGGGCATGGATGGAGTGAGTGTGGCCTACTGGGTGGGCGTGGCCAGCTCTACATTGTTTGTGTCAAGGGTGCCTGTGGGAGCCTGGGCAGGAGTGGGACAGATCTGAGGGTCTCTGGCAGAAGGGGGTGAGAACAGGGCAAGTGCCAAGGCATGGTCCACTGGAGGAGCCTCACTGTTCCTCTCAGGCCATGCAGGGGGTCTGGATGGTGGTGTGGGCTGCCGGGAGCCCTGGACAGCAGAGGTCAAACGCCCAGCCTGGCCCTCGAGCACCCGCGGCACCAAACTCAGCCCCACTTCCCCAAGGAGGCGCCTAGCTGCATTTACCTCCTCCTCAAGGCTGCTGCTGCTGTGCTTGCTCTTCTTACCCAGTTTGCTCATGATGGATATGAGGGCAAAGTCAGAGGAAGGCCCATTCCCTCTCCATGGGAGGAGACCCAGCTTTGTATCCAAAGCTTCCTTAGCAATAGGATGGGAGACCCCCAGGATAGGACAGAAGGAGGGGGCAAGGGGATGGTGCAAGGGCAGCAGGGCGGGACTAAGGCAGGATTTCCTTCAGACTCTCCCTCTCCTTCTTTCCTTCCTTCCTTCCTTCCTAAGTACAGAGTGGTGGGAAAATATTTGAGATGAGGGAGGGAGAAAAACAGGCCAGGGCCAAGGCAGTGGGGGCTGTTCCCTCACTGTTTCCAGGATGGCTTCGCGGGCCACATGAAACCACTTCGCAGGCCGCATCCGGCGCCCAGGCCTTGTGTTTGACATGTCTGGGCTACAGCAAAAAAAGCCTAACATCACCATCTACAGGGGCAAACCCCCCTCCCCATGCTGGCTATGAGGGATGTTATCCGCTAGCTATGTAACGTGATAAAGAACGAGCAGATTTGTGAAAGTTGGTCCTATTTAACCACCAGCAATACAAAGTGTATTATATAATGCACGTACTTACAGAGTGAAGTACGGCAAAGAAGGACTCTCGAGCCACTGTCTCAGCCAAAGGAAAATTACCTCACTGAAACCAAGTCCACAATGCCGCCGGTTCCTTCCTGACATGGTGCTATCCATACTTTGCTGAAACTGAGTCTCCAGCTCATCATTCATTTTCTTATCTTCTTCCCCTATAGGGTTACATATGTTGATTAGCATACAGTCATATAACAAATCCTGAATTTCAACCAGAAAGGAGGAGCATAAAAGATTTTATTCAACCCACAACAGAGTTTATTCCTAATGGCATAGGGTCACTCCTCTCCCTTTGTTTCTGTCCACTCAGTGCAGAGTGGGTGCACAACATTTCTATTAAATGTTGCTATTTTTTTTTATAACAAGTTTTATTAGTTTTTCGATTTTACATCCAAATATTTAGGAAGCAGTGTGGTGATTGGGTAATCAATAGTCCAGTAACAAAATCTTTCGTACATATCTCAGGTTGCATCATTAAAAGTTCCCTGTCTATTTCCCTTAATTATTATATCACATTCAAGTTAATACGTTTCTAATTATAGCTCAAACAATCAATACATCTGTCAATATAATTTTGCTTATACATATCCAAATCCTGTTTTTAAGTTTTACCTAATTTCAATTACCATGTTCCTAATTTCATCACAAAATAGTTATCGTATCTAAAATACACATATTATTCAGTTAATTACATTCTTACTTTATTTCACAAGTATATTCTATTTCTCATCCTAGTACCTCATCATTTACTAATAAAATATATTTTATTGTCACAAACCAACTTCCATATTACAATTCAAAACTATAATCTAATGGCTAATTTTCATTTCCCCTATAAATCTAAATCTTAAATATTAAATCAATCAATTTCTTTAAAAATCTCCTTAGCCCATTAAGTAAGATGTTAAGTTCTTCCATTATCAATCAACAAAAAAAGGAAGAGAAAGAAAATTCCATTTTTAAATCTAACTCTAGCTTTCTTTTTGTGCCAAACAGGCTTCCATACCAGTGCCTTTAGATCCTCAGATGGATCTCTCTTCATTCCTACACGTTATTTGAATCAAGGGAGAGCATCCAGTTATCAATTTTTCAAAGGATCTGGCCCCTTTGTGATCATTAGATTGTTGCCCTCTTAGTTCAAATCTCCATGTTTGATTTAAAATATTTGTCGTCAGTTCAGTCTGGTCTTCTTCTTCTTCCAGTTTCATCTGGCTAAAATAAGAGGTCATGTCCGGTGTTGTAGTTGTTGTTTGATTGTCTAGATTCTCCACTCATCTGGGGTTTCAAAAAGCCCTTAAAATTGGACTTTGGTCCCATAACTGGGATTAAATGTATGTATGTGGGGGTGAGGGGGACCTGATGTGCTGTGGTTTAATGTGGGTGGAATGTAGTCTGGATCCCCAGGAGGGCAGGGCTGCATTCCAGAGTTCAAAGAGCAATTAAGCATAGAAAGTTTGGTTGGGAGGAAGACAGTTAAGAAGGCTCCTCCCTTGCTATTCCCAGGATATATCTATAGTGAAGCAAATAGTTGCTTTAATTTGGCAATTTTTTTGTCTAAAGGTGAGGAACAATGGCAGGCTCTTTTGTCTATGTTTTTAATTGTTTTAATTTAGGGGACGACTATAATATATTGAATGAAATAATGATAAATAATATTGTTTGAGGACAACACTAAAACGTTGTCCATAAATAGAACTTTCTGATACCTTTTGCACAAACATTACTATGTCACTTCAGGGTACAATAAGTCAGAGACTATTTTGGTTTTATACCATTACTTACACATGGGGCAATATAGCACTTCAGAAGACTGGTGCACAGCCAGCAGCAGTTAGTGGCCAAAAAGATGGTTTTGAGCATGAGGAATATCAAATCTATATAGAATATGGGTAAATCAATCAGAAAGGCAAAGTTCCTAGAAAATACCTTTGTTATTCCCCTTCAAAACCCTGGTTAAACTGACCTGTTCTAAAATGAGAAGTTGATCGATGGTCTCCAATAACAAGGCGCCCAGTGTGTTCTTTCTAGAAGGAAACGTACATTATTATTCCAACACAATGATTCTAGTTTTCTATTAAAGACTGATTTATTATAGCATGGGCTTTCAAAGACCATTTCCCCCAAAGGATTATTTGTCAATATTACCATGTTATGTTTCAAATAAATATCAGGCCACTCTAGGGAGACTTACGTATGCCATTAACCAACCCAAATCACACTCAAATTACACAAATCGGCTTTAAATTTTTGTGACCATTGATATCCACTTTGGCTGGCTTAAAAAAAAAGAGTTGGACCAATTCATGGAAATCAGGGGAATCAACAACTATTAGCTTTCATGGCAGTGTGACTGTCTGCTGGAAGACTAGTGGGCTTTCTTCGGCACTTGGATGATAAGATGGGCCAGTGGTCCAATCCAGCAGGGCACTACTTATGTTCCTATGCTCTTATTTTGCACCACAATTTCCAGGGATTGTATTTGAGGATTGACAAGACACTTTGAATAAGCAATTAAAATGATTCTGCCAAAGGAACAAATTTTTTTTTAATTTAACATAGCTATCCAGGTGCTACTTGCAGCAAAGACAATAAACTGGCAAGCCAAGTATTTACAAAAATTTTTTAAAGAAAATTCATTCCATTGTACTTCCACAAATTTCTTTTGAAAATTATTTACATCCACTTTCAAATTTCAGAGGACAGTGATCCTTACCAAAAATTAAATGAAAAACAATTAATTAAATTAAAATAATTAACTCTAAACCCAAAGGTGCTTTTTCCAAAAAAGCAACTAAACTTTCCTGCTTTTTTGTTTGAAAATGTTTCACTTTTCATCCAATAAACCTTTTTTAGTTCTAACTGACTGGTTACTTAATTAGTTAATCAATCAGTCAGTCAGTCAGCCAGTCAGTTATAAGCTAGTCAGTTATAACTGAAAAAGCTTCTTGGATGAGAAGCAAAATGTTTTCAAAGGAAAAAAAAACCAAGAAAGTCCAGTTGCCTTTTTTTGAAAAAGCACCTTTGCGATAACCATGACTTGGATAATTGAGAATCTCCACAGATAATTAACACTAAAGCAAAGTTGGAAATGTGTTATTTTCTAGCTGATTAGGTTTACCCCTCCCACAATATTTGTCCCAGGTCCCACTGATAATATAGTTCAAGATATGCTTTAAATATTAATTGCTGGGAAACAAGAATAGAAGAACATGTCAATTTCATGCTGAAAGGGTGAGCTTTCTTGCCTAAATAAGCTTTTGGTCCTTTTATTGGTGTTTTTACTAATAACCTATAGAATTGTAAGCAAGGTTATTAGGTATTACATTGAAACTTTGTGTGTTATAACAATGAATGGGTGTAATAAGATTCATTCACTTCACCATACAATTAGTTAATATCTCCAACCTTTTCCCATTCAACCATATTCACTGAAGAAAATGAATGTACACATTAACTGTATATATTAGAAACCAATTTTCTTGTTTAAATGGAAAGCTACAGAGTAGTACTACTTAATGTTCTTTAAAAAGTTAAGTTGTACTAGCTGAGTTTTGGTTTAGAAATGATGACTTGTGTTACTAGAAGTATGAAAACTTTACAATGACATCAAGATGAATGGAAATTGTATTATTGAGAAGGTGTAGAGGCCCTGACCTAAAAAGTTAATTCACATAAAGTTTGTAGAGAGAGCAATAAAATTCTCAGTATTAAACATTTAGAAAGATAATTGCAAGATTCCGTGGTCATACACCGTTACACAAATATCTGACAAAACACCAAATAGGTAAATGTTAATTCATAAGAAAAAAGTAATAAATCCTGGCACAACTATTCCATTAGGTATTCTGACACACAAAGGTTTATGAAATAACTTTTCACTTATATCATCCTTCTGAAATTTTACTTATTAGATGGTGATATTTTTAAGAAGACCTTCTATTCTTATAAAAAAAGAGAAAACCAAGAAAATCTGCTTTGAAAGCTATGCACTAAAAATTTCTTCTATAATAATTATACTGCTAGGATGAACGTTAAAACCCTACCTTCCCAGCACCCATCAACCTTAGGAACTTTTGTTTCCTTTCTTCATTACCCAAGTCAGCTGCCTCCCAGCTACCAGCTCCGAGCTGAAAAACAAAATATAGTTTTTAGGCATGTTGAAAAAAATAAAAATCAAGAGTTAATTTGTACAGATAGTAGTTCTTTCATTGCAGCTATAAACATGTATTAAACTCCATATGGCTACACCATATTTGCCTATCTACTTCACATAAATGTCAGTTTTTTTAAAAAATACTGTCACGGGTTGCAAGGAAAATATTCCAGTTCTGGATAATATACTTTTAGCAGGCAGGATTAGAGCAGGCAACAGCTTCCTGCTGACACCTTCCAATGACTAATACATATATTATAGTTCCAAACACAAAATATGGAAATAATGCAAGAGATGGATAATTCCCCTTTTACAAAAGTGGAAGAATAGTGTGAGGGGGAGTAATGCTACTTAGCTAGATAATGAAACATGTGCAAAAAAACCCCCAATTAAATTCAGAGAATACCAAGAACCCAATAGTTCAGCCCTGAGCTACAAATATTCTCTTCTATTTGAATAGAGAAAATTAATCAATTCATCTTTTTAATGAAAATGTTAAATTAAAAGTACTATTTTATTTAATTGAATTATGCCATTTATTTTCAACCTTGCCAGGAACAGTTCTTTTCCTCCCTTTCAACAATGCTGCTATATATTACAAAAACAAAAACAAAACACCATCTTATTCCTTCTGCTGAAAGTCTGTTCCAAAAATGCATACTGTAGCTTTAGAAGGCATTCTGAAAATAAAAAGCATAGAGTGTAGTATTGCTGATAATGTACAAACATGCACTATATCCATCCTCTGACAGAAAAGCATTTTTGGTTATAGATCTCCATAGTCCAGCATAGGAAACTTATTCCAGATCCACATTTATACTAAAATCTACTTGTAGCCATCACATAAACTAATAACTCAGATGGTACCTCTAACCTCCTCAAAGTCTGGAAAGGCCCATTTCTATAGGATTCTGTAGAAATAATCTACTGTATGTTGCATCTCAGATTTTTCTGTTGAAAATCTGTAATCAATTCCTAACCTATACATAATATGCGTAGGCTACCATATGCATACTAACCTATTCTGGCAAGTGGATTTGCATTTCCACCATGTCTCCTGCTTTCTATTTTGGCTATACTGCATCAACATAATGACTACTACTTTATTACAAACATTTTACCCTGCTTTTCAGAAAAGTAATGCCACTGCCTTCTCCCAACTTTTACTCACACTGAGGGAGGAGCCCTTCTGCATCATGCCAAGGCCTTGCTCCTGAGAGGCTGGTTCTCAGAGAGCTTTTCAATGTCCTGATTAATTATTGTAGATAATAAGCTATCTTGAGAAGCCCAAGGGGGTCTCAATCCACAGGAAAACTCTCACTCTTCACTCCCAGTGGCAAAAACGGGGCTTCCCTTCAGGTACAAATGTGCAAGGAAAGGGCCACCTAGGCTATCCTTCTTGAATCCACTCTGATCCAGATGCATCGATTGACAACTGCCCACACCGCATTGGAGTTGTAGTCCCTCACTTCTGCCCAGTATGGGAGTTGTAGTCCTGCAGAAGGGCGGGTCGAGTGAGATGTACTACCGAACCAGCCTATCACAGGGGGAACAAATTCTCCTATATAAAGCGGGAGAATTACGTAAGAGATTCTTGCCATCATCTCTTTCTTCTACAATCTACATAGAAGAGATGATGGGAAGAGGAACCCCTTTTCTTCCACCGCCGGCCCCAAGAGTCCCTCTTGCCTTGATCCCCTTTCCAATTCCCCGCCCCGCAGCGCCCAACTTCTCCCTGCCCCTTATTCACATCAGGGGAGGCCGCCCGCTTCACGCCGTGGCCGTGCTCGGGTTTGGACTCCTTGGTGGCGCTCATCTTCCCGACGCCCGACCAGAGTCCTGTGAACGGCCACTTCCCGGCCCTCCTGCTCCTGCTGTTGCTGCTCCTGCCGCCAACCCGCCTTCTTCCTTCTCGCCTTCTTGCAAGCTTTTGCACAGCGCAAGCGCGAGAGGGGGAAAAAAAAATTCGGCGGCGCAGGTCACCGAGGCATCTCGGGAGGTGTAGTTCTCTCGCTAAGCGGCGGGGAAACGTTCGCGGTGGAACATCTCGGAAAGGCAGAAACTCCAATTCCCAGAAGCCTCTGTGGCATGGAACTGGGAGGTCTTTCTTCGCCTTTCCTCGCGCTCCTCCAATCACTTGTGGTTGGTTATAAAAGAATTGGGTGGCGAGGACATTTGATCAGCCATTGGTTCCTGAATAAACATTTAGGGCTTCACCCCACCCCTTTATTCAAGGGTTGAAATCATTTTTGTCTCTCGCTCCTCAATTCAAAGCCTAGCAAAAATTTGTAGCTGGAATTAGCTAGTAGCATTTGCTTGGGAAAAGAATAACAGAACAGCAGAGTTGGAAGGGACCTTTGGAGGTTTTCTAGTCCAATTCCGTGCTCAAGAAGGAAACCCTATACAGACAAATGGTTGTCCAGTCTTTTATTAAAAATTCTCAGTGATTGAGCACCCACAACTTCTGGAGGCAAGTCATTCCACTGACTAATTGTTCTGTCAGGAAATTTCTCCTTAGTTCTAGGTTGCTTCTCTCCTTGATTAGTTTCCATCCATTGTTTCTTGTCCTGCCTTCAGGTGCTTTGGAGATATATTGTGCTATAAAATAATTTGCCTTTCTCTTATAGTCCTGTCTGAGCTTAAGAAGGAAAGCGCTTCCTCACGATAGTGCACGCTGCTGGAACAGAATAATCAGAGTATGTATTTTTCCCTTTCCTAATTATTGCTCAGATGCAATAATTAGGAAACTCATCACTGTGGCAGATACATCCCAGCAATTAAATTGATTTTACACATTGTAGTGGAAGTGACTTTAAATTCAAATGCAAGGATTATAAAATAATGCAAGAGTAAAGCTAAAGCTGCAAACCTGCAAAAATCCGAACAGTAGCTACACTTAGACTTTTACGCATCTAGGGTGTTGACTGGATTTTTGCTCCCCAGGTATTGATGTTCAGCTCTATGCAAGAGTTAATGTAGTGTGTAATCTCCTGAACAGATTGTGGATATTGTGAAGCATGTTGTGTTAACAGTTTCTCAGCATTTGTTAAAAGATCCAACAAAGGTTTGGAAGTTAGTCTTGGGAAAGTATAGTACTGATCTATAAAACAGTTTTATTACCTGATTTGCTCCCCTTCTCTACACTGCACCTCTGCTTTGCCTCAATGTTTGACTATGACAAAGTAAGGGATATGATATTAAGGACAACTCACAGCTGACTTTTCCAATCTTGTGTTGTCAAGTTGTATGGTTGATTGTTAAACTGTATGATTTAGCAGAAAGTTATTTGCAGTTTATAGAAATAGATATTTTTATAAAATAAAATCCTCTGGGTGGCTTATAATATCTAAACTTAAAAACTAATGTAGAAACAATATGCAAACTGGGAAAACCAGGAAAGCAGTGTAAAACGCAAGAGCAAAATTTACAATCCCTGTTAATAAAAATAAATATTTAAAACAGAAGTCCAACATTCACAAGTAAATCAGTATGTCTACTTTTACAGTGTTATGGAGAGTTTTGAAAACAAGGCTGCCTTATTCCTCGGAAAGGAATAAAGAATAAAGTAGAACATAATCTCAGGATACACTATTGTGAACTTGGAACTCTCAAGCCTTAAAATTTTTGGCTGGTGAGTGGGAACATTTATTGATTGATTTATAGTTTATATTTTTAGGCTGCCATAATTTCCAGCAGTTCCAGGAGAAAATCATGCACAGGAATAGAAAGTGTTGTAACTGAAAACGAAGATTTTCCCCACATATAGTGAGTTTGTCAAAAAGTAATGGAATTTTGGACACAAATTCATACAGTGACGCAAAAGATTGTATGGGTTAATATTACAATGAAGGCAGAATTATTTTTATTGGACTTTATTGATGCTGAACTGGAGAAAAATCTGGGAAACTAACAAATATAGCGAGACAAGTTTACTGTTTGTACAAAAACGAAAGAATGAGATTCATAGAAGAGAGTTGGATCATAAAACTGACAGAACTTATGGAAATGGCAGAGCTGACCAGTTTGGTGGGGAAAAACCAATTACTATTGTTTAAAAAAAGTTTGGAAGCTTTATATGGACTTTTTGGTGAAAGAAGAAAAGACAGAACTGAAGATTTATGGTATAGGGGATTTAAAGGGGTTAAAGAGGGAAGGGAAAGAGTAAAGTGGCCATTATTTGATAGAAGAGCAGGAGTAAATTTTGGAATATTCATGAGCAGGAAGAGTCATGTGGTAACTCAGTCAGCCAATGTGAGGAAAGTGCTACTGAGTCTGTGCAAAAGAGTATTGCGTTAGGAACTGGATTTCCAGTCTCTGTTTTGTCTCTGGTCTGTCTCTGTAAGAAGTCTTCATTAAGCTATGTTGCTATAAAGAAGAATGGTATTGTAAATATTTTTATATAAATATAAAGTTATTTGAATCAGCTAGATGCAGTCAACTGTGAGAGCTTCTGATTTATTTTTCACCAATAGAGAAATTAAAATTCTCTAACAGTAAAAATCCTCTATTTTATTTCTTTTTTTACCACTTCATTTTCTTCTTTTTCTTTTCATTGTTATACTTTTATTGTATTGTAAATTCTAATATATATGTACACATATAACATCAGCATAGCAAGAATAAGGTTTCTAAAAATTAGATATAAAAGCAAGAGGTGGAAATAAATGTACCTATGCAAACTGATTCTCCAAGTGCCACAAGGTTTTTAAGGAATTTGTAGAAGATTGCCAGCTAGTCCAGTGGTAGCGAACCTATGGCATGGGTGCCAGAGGCGGCACTCAGAGCCCTCTCTGTGGGCACGGGCGCCGTCGCCCCAGTCCTAGGCCTTCAGCTGGGTTTTATAAAACCTTTTCGCTTTAGGCCTCCACCGCCATGTACAAAAAAAAAAAAAGGTTCAATCAATCAGTCAATTTCAACTTCTTGCAGGGAAAAAAAAGATCTTGCAAAGTTGGAATTGATTGATTGAACTTTTTAGTCCCACCCAGTCTGCCGTTACTACCACAACCATGCCCACTAATAGGTCACACCTACCCAATGGGCCACACCCAGCTAATGGGGCACACCCACCCAGCACCCGACGATGCATAAGTGGGTTTTGGGTTGCAGTTTGGGCAGTCAGTCTCTAAAAGGTTCGCCATCACTGAACTAGTCTAAGAAGGCCATTTCAAGGAGTGAAGGAAATCACCAACAGCTTTCGATGGGGTGTACTTATGGGCAGGAGAAGTTCCTATAGGTATCTAGAAACCAAGACATTTTGCTTTTCAGATTAAAATCAGCACTTGGAACTGAAGTTGGAAACCTATTGGTAAACAATGCTGCAATCACAAATCGGTTGTTATATGATTTTATTTATCAATTTTCTACACCAACTATGTCACCTAAGTGAGTTTGAATGGTTTACAAATAAAAACCATGAAAAGAGCTATAGTTAAAAACAATATTAAAACAGTTAAAAAGTGTTAAATAATTACCATTTTTAAAAAAAAGTTGGAGGGAGTGCTCCCAAGCCACCAACCATCGCCAAGGTTTCATGTTATTCTTATATCCCCATGCCGGTTGGTAGAGCCAGGTCTTAACTCTCTTCTGGAAGGCCAGAAGAGTGGGGGCTTGCTTCAACTCTGGGAGGAAGAAGCCCCCAACTCTGAGGGCAACAGCAGAGAAGGCTGTCTTCCTAGACCAGTGATGGCGAACCTTTTAGAGACTGAGTGCCCAAATTGCAACCCAAAACCCACTTATGCATCGTCGAGTGCTGGGTGGGCGTGGCCCATTAGGTGGGCATGGCCCATTGGATGGGCATGGCTGAAATGGTAACGACAGACTGGGTGGGACTAAAAAGTTCAGTCAATTCCAACTTTGCAAGATCTTTTTTTTTCCCTGCAAGAAGTTGAAATTGACTGATTGATTGAACCTTTTTTTTTTGCACATGGCGACAGAGGCCTAAAGTGAAAAGGTTTTATAAAACCCAGCTGAAGGCCTAGGACTGGGGCGATGGCACGCATGCCCACAGAGAGGGCTCTGAGTGCCGCCTCTGGCACCCATGCCATAGGTTCGCAACCACTGTCTTAAACCCTGCTAGTGGAGTCTGCAATATGAATGGTCAATGAAATTGGAAAAAGGCGCTTCCTCGGGTAACCTTGCCCCATGCCATGAAAGACTTTAAAAGTAATAACCAACACCATGAATTGGACTTGGAAGCAAACTGGCATTCAGTGCAGTTCGTGTAGCAAAGCTCTTATATGCACAATCTTAGAAGTGCCCCAAACTGCTCACACTACCACATTCTTTATCTTCCAAATACTCTTCAAAGGTAGCCCATGTAGAGCACATTGCAGTAATATGGGCTGCTGAATTTTAGAACATTTGCAGCTTCTGAGTGATTTTCAAAGGCAGCTCCATGTCGAGAGAATTATTAACATTTCAGCCAGATAGTAAGAACATGTGTTGTAATTGCCAAGTTTCCCACTCCAAGCAGGGTTACAACAGGTCTCCATCTGCCTGTTGCCATGTGAGTCCAAGAAAACCCTCAAATAGTGGAGTTGCTCTTTTGGGAGGGCGCCAGATCATCCAGAGTTATTATCGGACCTTTTTAGCAGCAGCCTGAACTGGAAACAGTGAATCCCATGAAACAATCTGTCAGAGAGATCTACACAAATTCTAGCCAGTACTCACTTTTATCTTTCTCTAGGTGATTTATCCTGCCAGTTTATCTCCTAGACCAGGGGTGTCAAACTGCTGGCCTGCGGGCTGGACGCATCATCTGGAGGCTGCACCCACCCCATTGCCGGCAATGGCAAAACCGGCCCAATACGTTGCGCGATGTAACATGACGTCGCGAGTTTGACATGTCTGTCCTAGAGGTACCCAGTAAACCAAGAGCCATCCAACAGAGAAAGGTTGTACCAATGAGAGAGAGAGAGAGAGAGAGAGAGAGAGCTCATGGTTAA